TATATTTTTATTACATGTAATTACCATTTAATTACATGGTAATAATGAGTTTACAATTTATTACCAACTTATTACCATGTAAATAAATAGTAATAAGGTAACAATTACTATGTAATAAAATGGTAAATAATGTGCCACATGTAGTTATATAGAAATTAGCATGTAATTATATTTTTATTACATGTAATTACCATTTAATTACATGGTAATAATGAGTTTACAATTTATTACCAACTTATTACCATGTAACTACCATATAATTACATGCTAAAAGGGGTACTGTAAAATAAAGCATTACCCTATTGGATTATATTATTAAAAATCAGTCAAACCCTCTCTGCTCATCTTTCTGTTAATGTATTTTTTCTTGTTGCAACATTAGCAACAAGTTATTTTTTCAGCGTAATAAGATGCACCCAGGAGGTTAGCAGCAGAAGTAAGACCTTCTTGAACAACTGCATCATAAATGTGTCATAATCTGGAATCTGCTCCTGGTTTTTACGTTTAGCCTCAGAATAACAAGACCTCGGTTTATATACTGGTGGTGTGGACAACGGTGTTGACAGTACAGATATTAATGCTGATTTTATACGTATCTCACACACAAAAAAAAAAAAACACTCTTGGGGACAAAAACAAAAAGGAACAGTGCAAATAATATGATGCCTAAGATTACATACAAAAACCTTACAACTTTACTCAATTAAACCCTGATCATGGGACAGTTTATAGAGTCTTATCACCTCACAAAGGTGTCAATATGTGACCCATCATGTCGAAATTAGGATTAAATCAAATTTGGTCAAAATGACCTCATCACATTTTCAGATTCTTGGCTTTAAAAGCTACATTTTGATACCTGGATCATTCTGATATCAWAAATGGATCCAGAAATAATTTGTCTTCTTGGTTATGATGATACCTTAATATGTGGTCTAAATCCTGGGGGATTTTTGATGTCATTATCAAGAGGAAATGTCAAATAGTACTTGAAAATTGAGATTTCCTAAACACTGCTCGCTCACAGGGAAAATCTCCAAATTTTAAGGCGTTTTTCCTCAAAAATCTGTTTCTAAATCCTTGTTAATCCTTGTTTTGATGTGGTTTATTGTTTGTTTATTGATTCGATCCCCATCAGCATCAGCAGCATGCTGCGCCGGCTATTCTTCCTGGGGTCAACTTAAAAAAAGACAAATTACATTTACAAGAAATCACACTACAGATAATCGGCAAAACATCTCATTCCACCTTTCACCACCTTTCAACTTGACCTACTTTGTCCCAGATACTACTGTACTTTAATGCATAAAAACACAACAGCATCTTTACATTAACAATAACATCTCTACAGTCAGAAATACACAAACACACATACAATTATCTAAAAGATAAGTTCATTTTTTATAGTAAGTTTTCAGTTGCTTCGTAAAACTGTACAGGATTCTCCCAATTCTCAGACCCCTTGAATAAATTAAAATATATTTTTCAGCAACACACATACAAAGAAATGCTGACACTGAAGCATCAAGTATTGTATCAAACAAAAGGTAGAGTCTAAGTGGTTCGCTGTAAATCAGTAACACTTTGGTCCTAAAATTTTAAGTTAAGCGTCTTTAAACGCCCTGTTTTCCCACACATATGAACGCCCAACGAGGAGGAGCCATGTCGGACGTAATCCAGCAGAATATTTTCTCAGTTTTGTGTCTCAGACTCCCCAAACCTTTCACTGAATTAGTCTCAGAAGCAGCTTGTCTTCACCTCTTTCACTCATCTCATGTTATTATTTTACTCCTTTTTCATCTCTAACTTTCTGCTCGCACTTCATCTGTCCTCAAAACACATTAGATCGCTTCCAGCTCTTTTTTTTACCACCCTAAGAGGAATAAAAAATAAAAAACCGACACAGATAAACACACATTTTAACTCCCTCACTCACACAATCAAGTTTTTGTGCTTCTGTGGCAGGGGAGGCAGAGACGTGAAATCCTATCTGGTGTTTCTGTTTTACCACAACTGCAATTTTCCCCTTCGTGYCTCCCTCCCTCGCTCTTCTTCTGTCACTTCTCACAAACTCATATCTTTGATTTCTGCTCATTCTTTGCTTGCTAAGACAGCGTTTCTTCTTCCTCCTCCTTTATCTCACGTCTYGTGTTGTCCTCCGAACCTTTCAGCRCTGCTCTGCGTGTCGTGCCTCGAGTTTTAGAGCAGATTTTTAAACCAGCGACTCAGAACATTTCAAACTGCTGCTGATTTACACCTCGCTCAGCTGCGGGAGATGTTTCCATGAGTCACACCATGATCAGTCTCTGACTGTAGTATTTAGGATTTACAATCCTGGCCCTCGAGGGCCGCAGCCCTACAGGTTTTATGTTTTTCCCTGCTCCAGCACACCTGATTCAAACATTGAACTACCAAGTTCTGCAGTATGGAGGACCGACACTGACATAACTAGAAAAAATGGGTGTGCGGCTGGCCGCCGGCGTGCTGGG